ATTTTTATAGCACACCTAAGACATATAGGGATTCATTTATTTACTCAGCTATTTAAAAGTGGCTACTCTTACTCATTCTTTGGACAGCTAAATGCCAGGTTGCTAAGTTACTGTTACTTGACATCATCTCCTCCCCAACGTGTTCCCACATTTGACAGGTTCACATGATTTACTAGGCCAGTCAGCTCGTTATTCACTTGTCCAATGACGTCTGGATAATCATTTTAAATTCACATCATGTCCTCCCCAGCAAGCCCCCAGATTCCACATGAAAATATTTAAACTGCCTGTCAGCTACTAAGTGCATTTGTAACCACACTGGACAGCATACCTGTATTTTTCAAATTACAATTATTGTAATTAGGTTTAGCATCGTTCTTCAATGTTGGTTTGTAGTTTAGAAGAGAAAACAATTACTGAGGGGCAAATAATGGGCTATATCTGTTACAGTCTAATTTTGCTCTGTGAACAGCTCACCTCAGCTATGGATGATACGTATTAAATCCATTAGTGCTTTCAATTGGCATGAGGAAGGTAATACTACACATAATTTGCCCAGTCAAGGGCATTTTCACCTGCTGATCAATTTACATATTCTCCAATGTCATTAGACGTGAGCTAGTCATCAGAAGAATAGAAGACCATACAAATTAGAGACTTCGCTCATTTAACTCCAGTCATTTTTATACTAATTACAATCTGAATTATATTTAGGATTTGTTTTGCTTCCAGACTAGAGAGCTTTTAATTAATATCACAGCTGTCCACATAACATCAGAAGTCCATCTAGTAACTTGATGCCTTATTACGGCGAATATGCACCTACAAGAATTCTTTTGTTCCTCTAAGCAGGGACAGATTTTTAGACAGAAGTGCCTGCCCAGACGGTTAGCAGCAGAGACACGACAGCTTTGTGTGTACAGAGCAGAGCCTCACTTCTGCGGGATTACATCTAATCGATTGCCTAAACACCTAGCCCAAAGTTTCAATTTACACTACGAGTCCTCAAGAAAATTTAGTGAAATAAAATTTCCTTTCTTTCCCGTGTAATGTTGTATGCTTATCACCTCCTTACCCAGAGGTAAACCAATGCGAAGGGAGGTCCCCTCTGCGCTGCCTATAGGCAGAAAAAGCATCGCTGCTGGTTGGCACTCGGTGTCACACCTGCACACCCCCTGTGCCTGAACCAGCACGACGGTTCACGTCACACGCAATGACAGCAAGGCACACTGATGTAAAGCACTGGCACAAGTGGCACGAGTAACAGCTTCAGAACATTGGTTTAAAATGTCAGTTCTCCCGCCCCATCCGCACTTTGTATCACAACATTTCAATGAACTCATTTTTCAACGGCTGCATATAGCAAGTGACAACTTAATTTAAATCCATATTAATAAAATGTGAATTACACACACACACACACTGTTGACTGCCTGTCTTCCATGTTATCCACACTTTCAAAGCCATTATGTTGGTTTAAAAAAATAAACCACATCAGTGTATTCACCTTTCAATTTGGTATTGGCAACCTGTATTGAATGCAAATCTCCTGTACCACCTTTACAGCTTTGCCTTAGCTGCACAAGAGGGTCTTCTTTAATTATTATTATTATTATTATTATTTTTAACGACCTTCTCAGCCATCCTGGTTAGAAAAGCAAAATCAACAGGAGACTGGTCTGCCATTAACCTTTGGCTGCAGTATCAGGAACGGTCCTTAAAGCATTTCCACGAGATGACATAAGTGGCTAAGTGTTTCAGGAAATCTGAAGGACTGTGAAATTTTGTCTCTGAAGACTCAGGGGTCTGAATGGACTCAAGACCTTTCCCCTCACTCCGTTGGAAATTTTTGACCATCAACTCAATTAAACCTTTCTTTTTCTAGCGGAAAAAAACCCAACACTACAACACGACAGAGATTAGGAATTGCAAACCTCTACAATTACAAAAACCATTAATCAAGTTCAGCTTGAAAAAAGAGCTCTGCAAAACCAGAGGTCACAGCTCTTAGCTTGGGTCCCTCTTCCCTGTAAAGTCTAGCAAAAAAACCTACAAGAGTTACTGTGCCTTTCTAGGGGTGAAACTTGAATTAAGTCACTTAATCACCCAACTTTAAAAAGAAAGAAAAAGAGCAAACTTCAAAGCATGAAATGCTCTTGAGGCAGACTGGCAGGGCTGGGGCAAGGCAGGCGGCAGCACCGTTTCTCCAGCACTTTGGGGCGCACAGCTCAGTGGCGGACATGGCCCAGAGCAGAAATTGCCAATTGTCACCAAGGGTTTGGTTGGTCAAAACGCACGCTACTACACGCCCATCTGTCTACCTTCGGGACTTGACTGTCTTGTAATCCTTCATGTTTACCTCTGCAACATCCCTGACAGGACAGAAATGGTAATAGCCTATTTTTTTGCCCTGGGGAAGCTGCCATCAGGGAGCTGAGGTCCACACTCCCAAAGGCTCTTCAGAGCCTACATAAATGGTCCCCAAAGGACAGAAAGTATCTGTCAGGGCTAGGAACTTAATTCAGGTTCTCAAAGCACAAATTGCTGCTGAAACCAAGGGTCGTCCTTTCATCTGGAGCAGACAGCCCGAATCTCCTGACACCGGGCTTCCACGGGGAGCCTGAATACTGGATTTTGACTACTGCTGGCTGGGCATCGCATTCTCTTACTTTTTTTCTCTCCGTTGCTTATCATGTAGAATATGATACCCTGCATGCAGCCAAAACACGTTTTCCGCTAGCTTATTCTGCATTATAAATTTGAGAAGAACAAAGTCATTGACAAACTCAGGTACTTCTACCTCCACATGTGCTTCAGCACCATACGAAGTTGAAAGCCTAAAATGCTGCCACTGAAGGCAACCGGTTGGGACTGGGCCTTTGATGGGCAGCCCCAGAAGCGGCTCTGTGATCTGCTGCTTTCACACACTCAGGGTCTTGCTGGCAGCCTGCAACCAGCTTGCAGACAGGTTACAAGGAGGCTGCTGACAGCCTGTCAGTGCCCAGAGCTGCCTAATGCCATGCCAACGGCATACTAAGCCACCCTCACTGCGTAACAGCACACAAACCTTCCTAGCTGCGCATGTGGCGAGGGATTGTACACTCCCGAGGAACCACGGCCGAGGTCCCACGCTCACCTGCAGCACGCCAAGCCCCTACCTGCTCCCTGGCATGAGGGGTTTCATATGCTGAAGATGGCTTTGGGCTATGCCTGCGGCTATGGCTGACAGGGTTGCTCCACGGCTGGACGGCAAGGCTGGGCACCAAGGGTACCTCCAGGCATCAGCACCCGGCAGACAGGAAAGATCTGCTGGTTTGTATCCCTTTTTCGGGTGCCCATTACATGCTCTTGTGAGACAGATACCCAGAGACATGGAAACCTGCCAAATCCCTGCTCTGTCCACCCCAAGAGGACCCCCAAGGTTGACAGCCCACCGGTGGCAGGAGGTGCTGCTGTGGCTGCAGGAACTCTGCAGTGCACCCCCATCCTCTGAAGAGAACAGAAAGTCGTGCACCTATCTCAGCAGGTTTCAGAAGGAAGCCCAGGACATTCTGCCTCTCTTAACTCAAATTACAGTCATGGGGTGGGAAACAGGATCACTTCCTCGGGATTAGAAAAAATACATTTCTGCTTCCTGTGATTTATATGCACTGTTCCCACATTAAAACTGTCACCTGATGACTGATCCCTGAAATTTGCTACATCACATTTCCTTTTGATGCTGTTTACTGAAAACCACTGCTTTCCCCAGCTAACAAGTCATTCATTCCAACCATAGTAATGAACCTAATTGAATAAACAGGGGAAGAAGACATCTAAAATGTCAACATTTTCTTTGCTTTTGCTCCCATAGGAGGGGTAATAAACCCCTGCTCACTTTGAAGGTTGAAACTAAATTTTATTTATTTCCTTGCATTCATTGCTGCTGGGTGCATACACCTCCGCTAGGGCAGGTCTGTGCGTGCGTACTCGCCTGCTGGTTCAACATACTTCTGCAGCAACACTGGCAACCCTTAAGGACATCGACAGCATCTCAATACTGTGCGTACACAAAACAGGAGCATGTTTCCCAAACAACTTAACTCCTGATTACTCAGAAGCCTATTTTATTTTATAAGCAAGAGTAAGTCCATGCCTTTGCAAGCAAGTTGGCACAATTGCTACACGTGATTTCAGGTCTGGTTTAGTTTGGACCACTTGCTCCTAGTGATAAGGATATGACCAGCACAAATTCCCACTGAAATTTTATCCCCTCTGCATCGAAAACCAGCAGGTTGGTTGGCCATCCCAGGGAGGTAGCTCTGATAGATGGGAAACTCAGCCATGAGGATAATAACCTAAATCTGAGATAGGGACTGGTGGGTTGCAAACCTGTCCCCAGAAAAATCTCACTGCCAACAGGGGACCCCAAAGTTGGAGTGTCTGAGGGAAAGCCCATTTTCAAGTAAGGCAGATTTACATGTATACAACTTGTTGTGCACACTCCCCTTTTTATTGCTATATGATCTTGTTGCAATTAAGTCATGCTTAGTTTGGAGTGGTTGTTTTAATTTTCTGTATTCAACCACTGACCAGAGCTCCCAGAAAAAAACAACATCTGTAGGTCTTTAACAACAGCATGAACAGTGAGCAACTGCACTTTGGGGGAAGAAGGAGGAAAACTGTAGATCAGTCTGTGAGTGGGAGAATCAAGGCGACTCTACCTCAGTGTAGGAGAGACGTGTCCTGGAGAGACTCACAAAGACTGAGAGCTTAAAAAAGAACAGAATGTGTGTAAATCCTGACCGAGACAAGCTGGCAGATGCAGAGTATTCAGTGAACTGACCTTACTCACTAAGGAGCACCCTGGGCCTACCACTTGGCTGCATCTCTTTAATACAGACCCACTAATATGTTATTAACTACAGCGTTAAAGACAGCCATATAACTCTTCACCATGAAAGATGAAATAACAGCACTACAATTGTACAACAGATACGAAAGCAAAGGGTATTACTCACCCGTAGTATTTCTTCCACGCAGCTGGAGTCATTGGGAAGGGTAACCTAGGTTTAAAGAAAAAAAGAAATGTTTAGTCGGTGCTGGATGCAAAGTTCAGTGACTACAACCACACAGGTAAACAGCTAACAAGCAACTGCCTCTGTTTGAGGGCTGCTGTACCCACGCTTGCTGCCTACCAAATTTTCCAGTTCAGATCAACGTAAATCATCAGCAGGACGCATTTTGTCAAAAGTTGTTTTTTCTCTTCCGCACTGCTTTGTGCTACTAACGACACTTTTGAAGCAATAAAGTACTCTGATTTCCTCACAGTTGAGAACTGACACTAGAATTGCCTGAAACTTCTGTAATTGAAGAGGATCCCGCTGTTACTCCTATCGGCGGCCTTCAGAGAGAAGGGGAGGTTTGGTTTAACTTGCCGCACGCTGCAGCGAAGGACAGAGGTGATAAGTTAGGAGAAAGCTGTTATCATCAACTATCTTATCCTACAGCTTAATAGGCTAACAGCCAAGACAGCTCTTAAACATATACTGTAGTAAAATACTGGTTGGATTGTAAGGGTGGCTGCTGATTTTGTTGTCCCTCACTTCATCAGCCTGTTGCAGGTTAAGTATCCTCTAAAGACTGAACAGCACACAAGGATTCGCCTCGAGAGGCTTGACAGGTATCCCTTCTCTCCTTTGAAAGATGTGATATATCTATGCACATAACCATACCCATGCACACACAGAGTGGTGCCTTCCGATTGAAAACACTCGTTTAAAAGGCACTTAGAGCATTTGACGCAATCCCTCATTCCAAGGACATGAAAGAGCACAAAACCTCTAAATACTGTGAACAATTACATAAACAACAGGCAGACACGACCCGTACAACAATTCTGTAGCACTTGCAAGTAGTTATGAGGGGTTCTTATCATGGGGGTACAGCAGAAGGGGAAGAGACAATATTCAGGAAGGTACCAGAAAAAAGATAAGTGCTTCATACCATAAATATTCAGTGAGACTTTTCTGCCTGACGCTTCTATCTTATTGCCCTTGGTAACTAGTTTGGTAAAAGACACTCATGACTAAACTTAATCCCTGTCATCCTAATCTGCTACAGAGCTTGACCAAAAGCACGGACTATGGCTTTCCTCCTGTATTTCAGCCAGCACTAAGCTTCAAGAATAGATCCACACAGCTGCAAAAGTGAAAGACCAGAAAGACCCATTAGATCACCAAGTTCATGCTCCGCTAATGTAGCACATCTTCCCTGTATCTTCTGGTGCTGTGGCTAAACTGACCCCACAAACGTAGGGGAAAGGGTCTCCCATTCCCT